GGGATATAGAGCGGTGAACAAAGCATGAAAAATCCTTGCCATGTTGGAACATATATTCTCATGAAGGAGATGGATAATAAATAAATAAATTCAGGTTAATCTAAGGGCTTTGGAGAATAATCGAGCATAAAAAGAGGTAGGATGTGACTGGGAGAGAGTACTTATTTGAGGTGGCTCTGGAAGTTCTTTCTTATACGGTGATGGTTGCCCAGAGAAATGACAGAAGTGAGGAAGGAAGCTGTAGGAATTCTTGGTGAAGAATGTTCCAGACAATGGAATTAACAAAAGCCCTGAAAGGAGTTCTTGCTATTCCCTGAACCTTAGCATGTTAAGGAATAGCAAGAGTCTCTGACGTGATGGAGAGACTGGCAGGCAACAAAGGTAGGGAAGGACAGGGAGAACCACACGGGCCCTCGTACAGTATGAAAGGAGTTTGAATTGTATTCTAAATGACATAGGAAGGTATTGACAGGTTTTGAGCAGGAAAATTCTGTGACTTCTTTTTTTACACTAAAAATATTTATCTACAGAATACAGTTGTCTCTTTCTCTCCCTTCCTGTGTGACTTTTTCACTGTCTCTGGGCCTAACTAGGTGTTCATGAAAAGCAGGCCCAGCTTGCAAACTCGGGGAGATGGCGTACCTAGGCTATAATTCACAGACTCTTCTGCAGGACCTGCGAAAGATCATTTAGAATTCTTTCTGATAAAAATGCCTATCATTTCTTAGGGGAAATAGAGCTGATAAGAACTGCCAACGTGCAGTCTAATCTCTGCCTGACATATTATTGTTCCTTCCTTAATATTATTTCCTGTTTTCCCCCTCACCCACAAAGATGAGTCTGCTCAAAGAAAGCTACAGTTGTGTTTAGGCAGCCCCAAGTGGAAGCAAGTTTGGCTTGGGCCCAGGTGGTTGAGAAGCAGTCACATTTGAAATAAATTTGGAAGATGGAATCAATAAGACTTGACGATGGACAAGTTGGATGTGTAGTTGAGGGGACAAGAGAAATCAAGGATAATGCCAAAGCTTTTTGTCTGAAAAACAATATTAACAGCAATGCCACTTACTGATGATAGGAAAGACTGAAGGAGAAATGGACTTGAAGGGGAGGGAGAATCAAGAATTATTTTGTACTTGTCAAGTCTGAGATGCCTGTTGGACATCCGGAAGCAGATACAGACCACAGTTGTATATCCTCCAACCCAAATGTAAGCTGCAAGAGGACAGGGCTTTCTGTCTGTTTTATTTACATCTGTATCCTCTGAACCTGGAAGAAGCCCCAGCAGGTGTTGAGTAAATATTTGCTGAATGAATGAAATACATGAATAAATACAAGCCCGAGGCTTTTGTTGTTTGAAATCCTGGCTTGTAGCCCTTGTTGAGGAGAATGATAAAAAGCAAACTGTGGCAAACACACACACACACACACACACACACACACACACACACACACACCCCACACACACCATTTGTAAATGCCTAAAATACTGAGAGAAGCAGGGTTCAAAGAGATCTTCCCTCTGTCAGGACTCAAACCCAAATTTCTAGATTGACCTGCCACATGGAAGAAAGGAGAACAAAGTTACTAGAAGGCCAGAGCCTGAACAGGGGAGTGAGCCAAACCCACTTATGGGACCCTTTCATTTATAGGATCTCCCCAAAGAACAAAGAAACCCAAAGAAGGATATAAATTTCCTTCCTGAGGGAAAGCAAAGTGGGAAGGAAGAAAGGCAGAGGCTACCTCAAGAGCATCCTCCCCACCCTCAATCCCCACTCCCCTAAACCTACGAATATTGATGTTTGTAAAGCTTCGGCTGGTATTGAAATTCAGTATGTGGTTTGGTATGATAACGTAAAGTATAAAAAGATAAGTATAGTTTGGCGTGAGTATGCATTATCCTATGTCACTGTTGCTGGCTTTCACAACAGGCAAAGACTGGTGATGTGTAGAAATGGAAGGACCAAGAAATTTTACAAAGTGAGAGAGAGAGGGAAGCTTCTTGGTTTCAGCCTCTCCGAGATGCTAG